GCTACCGGCGAGTTTGCGCTTGAAAAAGCACTGCGTATTTATCCAACAAGCGACCAGCCCCTCTAGCATGACCACCGAAATGGGATATGATAAAGCGATATATCGGCATTAACTGTCAGACTACTATGGAGTTTGACAGTAGTCTGACAGTTAATGTCGATATATCGCTTTATCATATCCAGTTTCGGTGGTCATGCTAGAGGGGCAGGGGCCCAATTCTCGCGGCATAGATATTATATCACCTTCGATATATATCAAATGATCTGGCTTTTATCGAAGGAAAACCTTTTTGCCCTATTCGCACCATGTCGCAATAGATATTTATCTACGGATGATCAGTAGACATACATCGACTGGTAAAGAGCCTTCGATATATAAATATCTATGGATCTTGGCATGTCAATCTTGTTATTTCCACTTGTTTTACCTATTATTTATTGTGTTGTTGTGTGTCTTTGCCAATTATTGTTACGTCAAGATGTTGTTAACTGCCTTCATAAATAATTAGTAAATATAGAAGTAGGTAAACAATGGTGTCGATTCTGTCGTGATTCTCTAAACTTAAAACTAAATTTAACATCAGTCTCTCTTTTTCATTCTGTATAGAGAATGACAAGGAAACACTGTTGTCAAGTTTAAGTTTAGATTTAGAGAATCGTGCCAGAATCGACACCAGTTTATATTAACGATGGATGAGTTGATTCATGTTTTCGTCAATGATTTAATAAATGACGTGATTGCTGCTGCTGTGCTAAGGCGCCGGCGTTGTGAGAGCAAGAGGGCCCATTTGAAATGAGGGACGCCGAATTCATAAAAAAAATACGTTTAAACAAAAATTTGGTTAGATATCTTTAAAGTTATGAATGACATTGGTATCGATTCTGACACGGTTCTCTAAACTTAAAACTAAATTTAACATCAGTCTCTCCTTTTTATTCTGTATGGAGAATGACAAGGATACACTGTTGTAAAATTTACGTTTAGGTTTAGAGAAGCATGCCAGAATCGACACCATTTTCTTATTGACGATACGGAGTTTTGGCGGGATTTCTGTGAGTGCGGTTGGTTTATTTTAATTATTCTAAAATTATCATCATGATATTGTGAAATAAAATTGGTGTGATTTGGTGTTACAACCGTCTGCGCAACTGAAGAATTAGTGGAATCTTTAAAATATACGCTATTCCGGTCAAGTGGACGCGAGAACTTTATTGTAGTGTTGACTACCTCACAGAAGCCTAGAGAAAAAGCCAACTCCATAAATTTCGTGCCAAAGACTCGAAGAAACATTAGAATGCGTCACACCGACATTCGAATGTAAAAAAAAAGAAGATTAATATAACTAAAGACTAGGCTTTATGGGCAGAATCTTAAATAATATTGGCGTTTCATTATACATAACGTTGAAATTATATACGCATACAATTTAGGTAAAGTTGAGATTTCTTATACTTAAAAAATATATACTCATATTTAATATGAATGGAATTCATAAAATATCATTGTGTTGCTTGTAAAATTCTGCTCTAATTTATTATTATTTTATATAGACTATGATGTTCACTTAATCGAGAAAAACGGAACGCATTCGTCAGTGAAAGAATATCTACGATAGATACAATATCATTGGAATATCGAAAATCCACGAGAATAGCATTTTTTACCATCAGTAGATATTTTCAATAGATATCCCTACTTTCGATATTATCTCGAAGCCGATATAATATCTACGCCGCGAGAATTGGGCCCCAGAAGAGAAGCACAACACGTTCTTAAATTTTACGTACGAAAAGGTACTCGAATGTACGTCATAAGGGCTCAAGATCAACTTATTGTTCGACCCGAAACCTTAGAAATACTTCATTGGAGTCCATTATTCTCAGCGATATAAATAAAACGGGTGGAATACCGAGAAAATTAAGAATTTTCAAAGTGGCTATATTCTGTAAGATTTCTCAGCAAGTTATACAAAAAGTCTTTCCTGTTCCAGCGCCCCACGCTTTTACAAAACTTTACACTTCAACCCAGAAATAGAGACAACTTGAACGATCCATAATTTATTTTTGGTTTTTACATGCATTTATTGTTTTTTTATTATTATTATTTTGCATGCGTGTTTCTAAATTTTTTTTAACTGTTAATTTATTTTATACTTTATTTTTACATGGCTGCTACACGACATCAGCATTTTCCAGGAGGGGTAAAACTACAGTTTTGAAATTGTAAATGAAACCATAACATAAGAAGAGAAGAAACTGCGGACTAGTGCATTAAGCATATAAGGAAGCTATAAAATACAATACAAAGTAATGAACAGATAAAATGGTCAGACAGAGTCCAGCTTGAGGAAATATTGTTTAATTTTAATAGCAAAGGAGTTCCTCGTCTGTGCACGTTTAATATCTAGAGGTAAGAGTTTCACAATTTTACAGCTCTTACATAAAATCACCAATTTTTTGTGTACGAAGCTCCAAAAAAAACGTGCTTAGATAATTTTCGATACTGTAAGAAATACTCATAACAAAAAACGAGTAGTTAGTTTGTCTTTCTCCAACCTCTGCTTCTGCTCATCAACATCTATTTGGGGATATTATCGAGTTCAAGTGGCATGGTAATAAACTAGACCCAGAAGACTGGGGTTGGAAGTTAATAACAATACATTGGAACCAGTTCAGACTTTACTCCCACCTGCACCGGAAAAACTCCTCAGTACATTTTTTGCAATGTGTAAATAGGGTGTAATGCTAAACGCGGCTGCAAAGTTGGATTGTTTTGTTCATTAGCATGTATCAGTTGTCGAGACTGGACCACGGGTGGCGCGGAAACGTGCACATTTTACAAAGATCACAACTTTTTGCATCGCTATATCTCCGAAATGGTGATTCTTAGGAAAAAAGTGTGGAGAGAGTTTTTACAGATAATCACATAATGAATATTTTGTGTCAGATAACTTGCCGTTTAGCTGAAAAATGCAAAAAACCGATTTTCGCAACATTTGACCATAAACAATTTTTTTTGCAAACGTCGGATCGATGAGGATTTTTGACAAATAGCAATGTTCAGCTTTGTGAGAATTAATGTAACATTAAATGTATATTTTGACAGGGCTATTATTTTCAATTAAAACATCCGCCGTCGAAAAAGTTGGTTTTAAATAAACTTGGTATGCTTTTTGTTCTTTGGAACCTCTTCTTTCCCATGGTACACAAAATATAAATTATTATGGAAAATATTCTCAGAAAATTCAAATTTGTCGTCACGATTCTCGTCCTTTTAAGGGGGAAAAATAAGTTTATCGCGAACTTCGGGAAAACTACAACTGCTTTTGAAAATAATTTAATAGCAAAATTGTGAATAATTAAAAGATCTTCGACTTTTATTGTATTTATATATTTGCAGATATTTTAAGGTTATCTGAAAAAAGTGTAAATGCAAAAGTTGTACAAAGATCTTTTTAATCTAGAAAATAGAATAAAGATAGAAGCTGTGGTCTTCCCGAAAATCACGATAGGACGTTTTCCCCCCTTAAAAAGTCACCCACGCACGCCTCCCGACCTCAAAGCACCCGTAATTAATATTTTCTTTGTTATTAATGTGTTCTCTTCCTTTTGGTATGGGTTTCATCCTGTTCCGAATACTTTTCACATTTTACGATTTCAAGGGCATTGCGTAGTTTATTTCTATTTGGCAATTCTTTTACATGCGAATCTGCAATGTTTCATTTAACAATAAATATTATTGTGTGCATTACATTATATTATTTTTACTGCCTTTGTATTTTCTTTTATAAGACATTAAAGATTGCTGACCTTAATAGTAAATTTTAAAAGCGTATCAGATTATCGGGAAACGTGTTTTAGTAAGCTTTGGGTCATTTTAGATGAATTTGTTGCAAAAGTATTACAAACTAGGTTTTCTGACCAAAATAAAGTGACCATACCGAATTGTCATGTAAAAAATACAGTGGTGTCGCATTAAAGGTAATAAAATAAATACGACATCAATGCGGTTTGTTATAAAAAAAAAAAACAGTATTCGCAATGTGACATTGCGCTAAGTATTCTCACTCGCAAAAAGCAAGAAAAGTGGAGCACCCTTTATAATTATAAATCCAATAATTTTAACAACTTCGTTTCAGAAATACACTTTGAATGCAATAAATATAACTTCTATGACATATTGTCATTAGAAACAGACGGAAATTTCTAGCACTTTTTTATATTTTATATATGTATATAAATACATTGCAATTTCTCATTATAATATATATTTATATAAATATACCAACTGAAATCCAAGCAAAACTGTTATCACAGAGCAAACACGCTTAAATGTTTCTTATTATCATGTTGTCTAATCATACTAACTAGAAATTAATCTGTAAAAATGCCTAACCCTAAACTGGACCATTTTTGCTCTCATAATTATATTATTGTGCTTACATTGTAACACAGTACTGAATGCCAAAGGAATCTTTTTCACGACAATATACACTAAACGACAAATAATGCTTATCCATAAGATAACATCGTGAGAACGATTCCTGCGTTTACCTTATAGCTGCTGATGTCCTTTCTTGATTTTAAATGTTAATATAATCATTCGAAAGTCGTATCACCATCTCAAATAACTTTAAGTTTTCAAAGCAATATTTTAAAGAAATTCGTACATGTGAGAAGTAAGCTCTGTATGTCCCCTGTAATAAATCCCTTAAAGATACTTAGGCCCGCCCGTGTATCGAAGTTGTTAACCCTTGCAATTGGGTCACACCTCTAGCACAACCCTCTTGCAGGTAAGAGGTGCCGGGCCTGTAGGAATAAAATACATAGCATTAATGAAATGAATTCAACACGTGAGCCATCGCGTGCTTCACAGCTCGTGGCTCAAACGAACTGCTGTCAATACTACTGTAAAGGTCAGATACCTTCGAAATAGAGCAGTGATGCATTGTGATGGCTCATGTGAGCTTAGTCTAAATAAATAGGTGACAGTGATCCTACCTTCAACAGGGTATTAATCTCTCTCAGTGATGTGATGGGGAATCCCTCCTTTTCCTTTTCCATTTTGAGCCGTTTCAAAGCTACAATTTCCTCTGTAGTTTTATCACGAGCTCTGTAAACAACTCCGTATGTGCCTTCCTCTATTCTATTCAGACATTGAAATTCCTCAACTGACCGACAACCCTATAAAATAACAACAATTAACAAACAAAATGTAACACATACATTAGGCATAATACTGATTTTACTTTAAATTTAACAAATTTCATGAACAATAAAAACAATGTTGTACCTGTAGCAATTCAATTGATTTATTCACATTTGGATACCATACAACAGCATACAGCCACATTAAGTATTAGATCTTACAAAACATTTTCAAATTCTTATTATTAATATTGTATGATTGATTGAAAATAATAAAAATAATATACCTGCAGGGCTGGATAATAAGGTGGAAGAGCATTGATTGCTTCTTCTCTTAGTTTAGCTTCACCTTCCTCTTCTTTAGACTTTTCTTCTTCCACAGTTGTATTACCGTTCTCCCCTGGCGGCGGCGGTGAAAATGAATGTGATCTGCTCCTACTTTTTGATCTAGAAAGACTTCTGAAAGAATTTAATCGACAATTATCTATACTTATAATAAATCTGTAGAGATGTCAATTCTGTACATGAAATATATTTTTAAAATAACTATCAGGGGGTGATTAATGATCGATACTGATGCCAAAAATGCAATCAGTAAAATTTTTGTCTGTCTGTCTGTGTGTATGTTCCTTATAGAAACAAAAACTACTCAACGGATTTTAACGAAACTTGGTACAATTATTCTTCATACTCCTGGGCAGATTATAGTTTACTTTTCATCACGCTACAATCAATAGCAGCAGAGTAGTGAAGGGAAATGTTGAGAAAACGGGAGAAGTTACTCCATTTTTTAAGCTTCCGTCGCGTGTGCAGCCTTATTGGTTAAGGTTACATAGAAACCATGTATGACGGAAATATTCTACATAAAATTGTCTAAAAAATATCCCGTAACAACATATGTCTATCTTTTATGGTTGACTCACAATAACACGTGTAATTATATAAATAAAGTCATTCTTTATAGCACAAGCCTGAGAACAAAAACTATAGTTTACACTACAGCTCTACACCGAAGCGAAGCGAGGGCGGGCCACTAGTTAATAATAAAGTTTATTCTTATCATGTTGATACTATGTTGAGACTGAAGTTAAAATGAGACATCAAGTCCTACCTTCTTGATCCATGTGAGGATGGTGTTCTACGTGTTGACTTTGGGGTAGGTGATTTTGATTTGGGCATTGATTTCTCAATAGCCCGTTCTTTGAACTCCTCCTTATCAGACTTCACTTCATCTTTATTTTCTTCATTGTCATCATCTTCCGATTTTGAATTAGCCTCAGAATCAGATTCTGTGCTCATACTCTCATCTTCAGTGTCACTGTTAGAATGTTCACCTAAAAATACAGAAGATAGTGATGATTATTTTGTAGAAACAATTACTATAATCAAATAACTTGCAGATGTTAAACTTAAATATAGAGGAATATTAAATGAGTCCGAAAAAGTCACAGAAAGAAGCTAGAAAGTTAAAAGAGGTCAACAAACTCGACTTACCATCTTCAGGTTCGGAATGTGGCGATTCACTTTTCATATCAACATCACTTGCATCAGAAACTGTTACTACAGAGTCACCATAATTTGGAGATTGGGTGTTTCTTGATTTTTTGTGAGATATATCTTCGGAGGATGCTGACCGTTTCCTGCCCCGACGTCGCCTTTCTTCACGCCTAGCTTCCAGTTCATTTCGGGATTCATGTTTCCTTTTCTCCATCTCTCTTTCTACAAAAAAAATTAATAATTCAAAATACCATACAATCTATTAATTATTGACCATTTAAAGTTTATTTTTATGTTGTATTTAATTTACCTGCTTCCAATAACTTTTTCCTTCTTTCTTGTTGGTGCTTATCCAAAGTTGCATGGCGATCCGCTTTTGAACTTCGATCATCATATTTTTTATCTTGAGTCTGTAATTCTTTAGATATCCTTTTGCTAAGCAACCTCGATCTTAAGTCTTCTAACTCTTTATCTCCAGATGTTCTATCTCTATTTTCCTTTTCGTTATAATGATCAGTTTGACTGTCTCCAGCTAATGACCGCAATCTTGATTCTATTTTCTCATTTTCAACTCGTTTGCGATCACCTTCAGTATATTTATACTGTCTCTCCCTGCTCATAAATATTTCACGATCTCTTTGGACTTCCTTTTCTTTATACACTTCTTTATCTCTGTACGCCTCTCGTGGACGAGCAGTATCTCTGAAGGTTGTATCTCTATATATTTCCTTGTAGTGTTCTCTATCCCTGTAGTTGTCCTTTTCTCTATACATCTCTTTTTCTTTGTAGGCTTCCTTTTCCCTTACTTCTCTTTCCCGATATAGTTCCTTTTCTCTTATTTCCTTATCTCTGAATACATCTTTGTCCCTATAAAGTTCTTTTTCTCTGTAAACTTCTTTTTCTCTGTACATTTCTTTATCCCTATTAAAAGCATCCTTTTCTCGATTATAATCTTTATCCCTATTATATGCTTCCTTGTCTCTAGCATAAGCTTCTTTTTCTCTGTACAATTCTTTGTCTCTATATGCATCCTTCTCCCTGTATGCTTCTTTCTCTCTATAATATTGTTTATCCCGGTAATAATCTTTGGCAATATCTTCACGATCAGAGTTTTTAGCAATGTCTCTCTTTGATTTGTCAGACTTATCACGTTCCCTGTAGAAAAATGTTTAGGATTTGATTTATAATATCCCCAATGTCAGATGACAGACCTTAAAGGACATAATATAAATGAAAAACAATCAATACGACAATATACATATAATTAACATAATATTAAAATTTTAATAAAATAAAAAATGTTTAAAACATATTACTTGATGTTATATATCTTAGTAAAACGAATATGCTATTCCTTTTTTAATCTTTATGATGGATTGGCATTTTTCACTGGTTAGCAAAATCTTTGTTTATTTGAACTAAAAAAGGAAGAACAGTAAAAATTACTAGCTGTTCAGTAAATATTTCTAAATCTAATCCTACTCATATTATAATCCTATCTTATTTTTCCTGTTAATATTATGAAATTAAATATCGTTTTGTTACTGAATCACACAAAAACGCCTAAACAAATTTGGATGAAATTTGGCACACACATAGTTTATTATTTGAATTGAGACATAGGATGACTTTTTATGCTGGAAAAATGATGAGTTCCTGAGGGATTCTCAAAAAACTAAATTTAACGCGGACGAATTGGCGGGCGGCCGCAAGTAAATCTATAATATCAAAAGAAAAATTGACTGCTTGATCAACGCACAGCCGAAATTGCTAAGCCTAGTAGTATAAAAATTTTGCACAAAGGTTTTTTAAATTACTAAGAAGGGATTTTTGAAAAAGGAGTTACAAATAAGGTAATGACATTATGTATGAAACTTCTGCAGTTTTGAAGGCAGAAATTATGGAAATTGATAAATGAGCTTATGGTTATCAGATTTTTTTTCTACTATTTCTCTTTTGCTACCTTTTCTCTTCATACTAGTTTTATGTATTCAGTCTATCAATGAAATTGATTATTATCAGTGATACTCACAAAAACGCTCACGACACGTTGTGGCAATCACAGAAAGACCACATAGCGTAATTAGTGTCGTGGCTGACATGCTATTCAACCTCAATGGATTGGGGCAATGAAAAAAAGTCACGCGTTCGGAGCATTAATTTGTTTAACCATATCACGACGCATACAATTTCTAATATAAGTAACTAGCTGACCTAGCGAACCTGGTACCACCATAAATATAAGAGCTGGTGGTAGGAGGGTAAAAATTTAGGTTGTATTTTTAATGCCACATTATAATACAAAACAAAATAAAAATTTTGCTGAACACTGAATATGCATATAAAATTTCATAAAAATCAATCAAGCCGTTTCAGAGGAGTATAGTAACTACCATTGTGACACGAGAATTTTATTTAAAAGATTAATGTAAGTACATTGTTGCTGCTTACTAGTGACCAGTAAACATTTGACAGAAAAATCCACAGACCCAGTGTGGATTCATGGATGCTAAGAGCTTTATGTGCTTTTGAAGCATGGGGGAGCTGGAAATATGAAGTAGTAATGACCGGGCTAATGAGTGAAAGTTGCTAAATAATCAAAATGATTATTATTTTTGTTCAATATTCTTTTTTTCATAAAGTTATCCCAATAAACAACAAATATTCTTTTATTTTAATGAGACGATTTATACAGAATGGCGCAAAAGGTCACTCTATCTGTAGATTTTATAATTAGAGTAAATGGCGTTTTTCAATTACATTTGGTATGTGTGAACTAGACAGCTCACAGGTGCAGAAAACAAACAGATAAGCAATGGAGCTCTATACTCCACAAGAGCCTGAACATGAAGTGAATTGATTTCAACAATATGGTGCAACCACCATACAAATAGCACAATTACATTTTGGCGATTTGGCATAGTCAGCAAGATCGCCCAATTTAACTGCCCCAAACTACTTTCTTGGGTGCTACTTGAATTCTAGGGTTAGTTCCAAACCCTAAAGTGAATATTTGACAAGAATACTGGAGTTAGTTAGTTAGTTCTTCAGGGCGGTTTCCGCACTTAGTCCTAATTATTGGACCATTGTGCGTGTCTCAAAACATTCCCGTTTACTCCAGCCAGCCTATATCTGTCCAGAAGGAAAGCAACCTTGGTAGACTGCTGCAAGCTTCTGGAAACGATTCTGGTGACTGGAGAAGTCGTGCCCGTTGGTCGGCCACACTCCTGCATTCCATGATGACATGCTGTGGCGTTTCCTCTGCCTCCATGCATCCTCTGCATAGGGGGCTCTCCGTTACTCCTATTGTATATAGGTAGGTGTTTGTTTAGGGGACAATGACCAGTCAGGGATCCTATAATCCTGGGAAGTTTGTCCCTATTTAGTCTGGTAAGGGTGCGGGCAAAACTTTTATTTGCCGCCGGAACCGCGTTTTTCGTTTGCCGGCATCCTTCACCTGTTTTCCACTCCGTCAAGTGTGATTTCTGAGTTATTTCACGCAGCCACGTTTTAATTTGGGCGTATGGACGTATGTATGGACAGCAAAGGTTCCGGACCATACACTTTTGTGTCTGCTCCCCTCTTAGCCAGTTCGTCTGCTGCGTCATTTCCAATTCAGCTGCTGTGTCCTTTTATCCATTGCAGAGTTACCGTGTTGCTAACCGCAATGGATTGAAGTGCTTTATGGCACTCCATACAGGAGTTATCACCAGAAATATTGAAGAGTCGTGGAAAATGCGATAAAACCGGCATAAATGTATATCAACACTGGCACTGGCGGGCAACCACTTCAACATCGAAGATTTCCACTCAAGGCTCAGAACCGGTTTGAAAAATAACAGTTAATAAAGTTCTTTAGAGGTTTTTCAAAATGTTTTCGTTCAGAGCAAAACCAATAATAATTTCGTTCTGTAACCGAAATAAACTGGTTTAAGACGATTGGCGGCCCCCCGTTTCGATAGGTATTTACAAACATGCATCCTGGGGGTATACTCTCTTCTTCGAAAACAACTTTCGGTAACGATGGGAGTTCAAACGAAATTTCATTTCATCAATTTGAGGGTATAATTTGAACAATTTCGTTGAGTAAGCTTAGAGAATGTAAACCTCAATATATTTGCGGGCAAACAAATGTATACATATAATAAAATGGTAGGAAAGTCAAAACTGTACATTGAATATTTTTTTAAATGTGATCTACAATCAGTACCAAAGCCAAAAATATAGTTTTTAGAATTTATGTCTGTTTGTCTATATGTATGTCTGGGATAAACTCAAAAAGTACTGCATGGATTTACTTCATACATAAATGCACGAATATTATTAAGAAGTCGGGTCAACATATAGGATACACATTATCACGCTATCACCTACGGGAACAAGCAGTGAACCTTTATTTCTAACTAACTCCACACATAGGAAATCGCAGGCAGCCACTAGTATAATATAATAATATAATTAGAAACAAGTAAGAAACATAGTAACAAACATGCAAAGTTCCCATCAAAATTTAGTGTTTCATTTAATTAGAGTAGACCTCCTGTATCAGTGATTCTGAAATAAACTGATAAATAGCAATTTGGAGCAAAAAATATGAAAAATTTTTTTATTAAAATAATGGTTTAAAAACCAGTTTCAGGAACAAAATCCTAATAATTCTAGTTCCTACTAGTATCCTAGTTATTATGTACTTGTGGTCAAACCAGTTTCAAAATGATAATGGTTTCAGAGCCCTGTTTCCACTCAACAGACACAATTGCAAAGGTCCCAATTGTAGACGTCCTAATGATTTTATTTTTTTGCAGCAGAAAGGGCACTGAGTATATTGTCTGTCTGGTACCTGTGCTCTACAGGATAAAAATATTTTCCAAGGAAATCTACCAAACACCCAGGAATGTTGCTGATTTACTGGGAATTTTCCTTATTATTATTTTATTGCCACTAATGATAAACTACACTTTTTAAGTGAATAATATAGTTTATCATTAGCTTGAATAAAATATAATGACCTTCATTATTTAATTATAAGGATTAGCCATAATACCCACTTTTGATACCTACTTATCTAGGAATGGTATTGGCAATGGTGTCGATTCTGGCAGGATTCTCTAAACTTAAAACTAAATTTAAGATCAGTCTGTCCTTTTCATTCTGTATAGTGAATGACATATACATATATGGGATACACTGTTGTTAAATTTAAGTTTAGCTTTAGAGAATCATGCCAGAATCGATACCATTATTTTAATTTCTTGCTTAAATTCATTACTGATCATTCAAACCCAGTGCAGATGAGTGGCAACTGCAGCTGGAGCTGGCACCTGCTACATCAAGCTCCTCTTGTAAAATACTATTAGGGGAGAGAAAACAGTCAAGAGACTCTTGACTTGGAAAGAAGACTCTTGGAATTTAAAATTAATATAGAATAATTACTGATACATTTGTTTAATTTACACCAAAATCAATTAAAATTGAGTTACTATAAGTTAATTTCTTATGATAGACAGGACAAAAACATGTTCAAACATTACCTGGAAACTCAAAAGTAATGTAGGTTGTTAGTTGATAGCACATTCCTTTAAGATTTGATATTTCAAAAGACAAAATACTGAGATTCTGCTTGTATTCAAAATCAAAACTGCATATTTGTAGATATGTATTATGCCCTTAGTAACTGTGTCAAATACACAAAATAATTAATGATGATGAGTTCCACATTGATTTATTCTGTCTATAGTTAAACTAGCATATTGACTGAATTTCAATCTTGTTAAGGGTAAATATTATCATAAGGTTCTTCTGCCAAATAATATAATTAATAATATGATACTTTTTGAGTTATATCAATCTGATAATCTGTGTAATGTTGCTTTTATTGTAAAAGTTTTGTTGCAATCCTTCTTCCTTTAGACTAAATTTAGCAAAAATTTCATTCTTCATGTGTAAAATGTGCTCAAAAGCAATTGTTGTATTTTTCTCAAATAATACTATACATACCTGTACATATGTTTCTTCTCTTTTCGTGCACTGTCTTTATATCTTTCTTTCATAGGTCTCTTATGACTCCGCTTATCTCGGTGTGAAGGGCGAATTACTGCTTGGGGTGGTTTAATGACTAAAGAATCAGCATTATCACGATCTTCATCAGATAAGCTAAAAAGGTAGATAATAGTTATTAACAATAAAAGAGATGACATGTAAGTTTAACGCAGGCTTTTTACTGCTAGTACACAATGATATGACCATAAACATATGGGATAACAAAGTTCTCATAATATATTGTCAGCAACATACCTCATAATTAGGGTCTTCGTACTTTTTAACAGCCTGTCGTCATACTTTTACCATCAACAAAACCTACGCAGGTTTTGTCAATATTTCTTGTAACCTCTTACGCAAGTGAATAATTTTACTGACTACACATTGCAAAGCTCATTTATACGAGTAATAACGGTTAGAAATACCATGACCAAATATCGAAATGTACATGCAACAAGTTAACAAGTCAATGCAACGAGGAAAATGACAAAGTACAGATTGAATCATCAATGTCTTCACGAATTTAATTTAAGGCTCTGAAAGAATTAAAGCGTGAAAATTATCTTAATAGGGACTTAAAAACATACCTGAAGTCCATTTCTTCTTGAACTGGACTGCGTGCTAATTCTCCATCTTCACTTTGATCATCTTCGTAATTACTCATGATGATATAGCACGAAACGAACACAATCACACACAAACACGATGTAAAACAAAACTGTACAAAACTAAATTAAATTATGAATGAACAAACACTATAAGTGTTGAAATGATGAAGACTCCCATCAAATACGAGAAACACGACGCAAGAACACACTCGAACAATGAATAGCAGCCATTTTGAATTATCTTATAATGCCGCAGAGTACAGTATTATATAGTGGTGTCGATTCTGGCATGACTCTCTGAACATGCGTACAGTCTGTCTATAAAGTCGTGACATTAAATGATGGCGCCACTAGTATGCATGTAGCAACCCTGTACAGTCTGACCAAAATAATTTTGATACTAGCAGTTCATTCAAGTATAATAGGTAATTAATAAGACACACTATACAGTCGTATTTTGTTTTTGTTTTATATATAGTAGGTACCTATGCTTATAAAAAGTTTAGCCAAGCATATTTAATTGAATCAGAATAAAATTATTATAGATAAAATAGTACTTTATGGTGTAAAAGTGTGTAATGTTGGTGATTACCGCTGAGGTGCCATTGAGACCAGAGCCTTTAGGTAATCATCAATACACACAAGTATCATCATATGACGTTTTTTAACGCACTTGTAAAGAAAAGAATACTAAAAATCATTTTATAGTATATAAAAAATTTAATTAGCGAAACAATTTGTAAATGTGCAGTAAGTAAAATTAGTGATAGGTATCTTCACTAAAAGCATCTGGCCATGGTTATTTATGTGACCATTTCTTTCTTTGGTCGGCCTTGCCTGTTTTCCCAGGAGTGTCAAACTTTCCATCATTCTTAAAACCTTCGTTGACTATCCGACTCTCTGATTTTCCTGAAAAAAAAAGTAAAAAAAATATGTAACGGAATAGAAACAATAACTTATTGACATGAAGCAATTAATTCAAAATTGGTAGAAAACCCGACCGAGTTGAACCATAATAACGTATCAAAAGAAATGGTCGTACTACAATATTACCTATTTACAATGTAAATATAACCTAAAAATGTGCAATGTAAACAATGCCTTTTTTGGTCTCAAAATCGTAAATTGAGTAAATTTGTAACTTCAGGCAGATTACAAACAAATAGTTACACGATTACATACCCGTTATAGATGCTGTTCGCCCATAAAACCATCCAAATCCCACAAAATTCATCCAGCTTGGTAGTCTTCGAAACATCGCTGGAAAACTTTAAAAATCACTTCCCACGTGCCACTCCGATTTACTTTACTCATTTTTATACCTTTCTGCGTAGTTTCGTCTTAATTTATTACAGTTTAATCCAAACAATAAAAAATACAAAAGGAAAACTGTTCCACAACTGAAACTCGATGACAGCTGATGTACATAAGTTTGGTGTTGCCAGACACATGAATAATGTTAGTTCCTCAAACATTAATGTCACGACTTTATAGACAAACTGTACAATGGGCGTTTTTAGATATTAGTGAAATCGATGCGCATCGGTATCAGATAAATCGCATCCAATGCGCGCATCACTGCCAAGTGAATGTCAGTATCATGGTAGTTTTCCAATTACAGAGCATAATGCGACTCAGTGGCGCACAATGCCGAATCATGCTGATGCATAATTGGAACGTGAATTAGTTTTCAAATGCACCAGCAGAGTGTGTTCACCAGCAAGTCAATGTTTGTACCTTCATCCATACTTACTCGTACATTTATTTTTTTAACACAGTTTGAATTAACTTTTAAAAAAACTACAATGAAATATTTTTTATGTATAATATTTTTATACAATATGATTTTTTCAACAATAAATAACATTACTAACGATAAAATTTAATAAAACATTTCGATCAATGCCAACTTAAAGAAAAAACACTTTTTGGAGTTTACTCCTTAAGAATCGATTTGCATAAATTAGGGGCCCGGTAAAAAAAAATGTGAGGAGTAAAATCTATAGATGAATGACCTCGTTACGTTTTTGGTGCGCATCCTATGTCGCGCAACTTTGACAAACAAAGATGGCGGATTGACATTAATAAAAAATAAAAAATCTGAACTGAATTCAGATATTGTTTCTGATAGAGCAATGGGGACAACGAGGTATGGTACAACCATTGATGCGGTATTTTCAAGATTCGTGAACCACGTATCTACGAACGTCCATATGTCTTATTTTAGTTACCATAAACCACTTGTCACTGTAATTAATAATGCAGACGTTGGTGTCGATTCTGGCATGATTATCTAAACTTAAAACTAAATTTAACATCAGTCTCTCCTTTTCATTCTGTATAGAGAATGACAAGGATACACTGGTGTCGATTCTGGCGTGATTCTCTAAACTTAAAACTAAATTTGACATCAGCCTCTCCTTTTCATTCTGTATAGAGAATGACAAGGATATACTGTTGTCAAATTTAATTTTAGGTTTAGAGAATCATGCTAGAATCGACACCACTGTTGTCAAATTTAATTTTAGGTATAGAGAATCATGCCAGAATCGACACCAATGTTGATTTAATTAATATTTAAAAAAATGATAATAGTCTGATAATAATAATTACATAATTTATCAACATTCCTAATGATATATTTATGCACAGCTGAAATTGACTATTGTAAAAAGTTTAATGTAAAATATTTCGTCGATTAGTTATAATAAATGTATATGAAATGAATAAATATATATTTATATATGTATATTATTTTCATTAATTTACCCTTTCATACAGTATCAATCTTTTTTAAGTAAAATAAACTCTTTTTGCGTCTGGTTAGACTATCGAACTTAAGGGGTAAACTCCAGTCGTGCATCGGAGCTGACACACACATTTTTTTAATTTTCTGACACTGAGTTGGTAGATTGCACGCATCACACGAAAACATTACTTTTGAGAGTGCTCGATTGTGCGAAGCGTTGCTGTTGTTGAAACATTCAACGATAAGCATTATGCCGCATAATGCGCTCTAGTGCTGTAATTGGAAAACTACCATAGTATCACAGGATGCGTTGTTTGTTTTTCTTCGATTCCAATAATCATGACTTGAAAATGTAATCGAAACCATTTATTTTCTTTTCGGTATGGTAACAGAAAATATCGAATGCTGGAAAAATTATTAAATAAAAATTGCACTCAGTGCGTAGGTTTTGAACGCAGTCTCAGATCAGATAAGTTTGTGGCACTGTTGCTATAGTAACGTTGGCAAAAGACATGACTACAGCTAGACAGCTACACTAGATGGCATTGGCATCGGCATCAAACAACAACAAACCTGGCATCGTTATTGCGGTTCGTTAATCTAAAAACGCCCACCCTTATTTTAAATAATTGCTCCGGTCGGTGGCGGGTTTTCATCGAGTGCGGTTGGCGTCTTATTTTAATTTTTTCTTTAATTCGGTCATAGTGGATATTGTGAAATAAAATTGGGTTGATTTTGTGTTACAACCATCGGCGCGACTGAAGAATTATGGGGAAGAGGAATCTTCAAAATATACGCTAATCCGGTCAAGTGGACGTGGGAACTTTATTGTAGTGTTGATTACCTCACAGAAGCTTATCGAAAAAGCCAACTCTATAAATTTTGTGCTAAACACTCCAAGAAACATTAGAATGCGTCACACGGACATTCTAAAGTAAAGAAGAATAATATATAACTAAAGACTAGGCTATGCAGCCTAGTCTTTAGTCCAATTCCAATGCCTATGCGGGCATTGTTCCCTTTGCCATCCCTAAAAAAGGAGAATCTTAAAAAAACTCATTGTGACATTGACAGAATCATTATTGTTAGTTCCAATGTTATTTCTAGCCACGGGGGATAATCTTCATACAACGGAATGCAATCATAGTCGGCCGCCATTACTGGAAATAAGTGACATTTCTTTTTTTTAATTTTGATGAAATTGCTTCTTTGACAAGCATGACATCACATGACATGACACATGACATGTATGATACGCCGGCCGGCCTTATTGTTCATTGCGATTTGCGTTTAACTTGTTGATCGAGTAAGTACTTGTGCTTATTACTCTCCACTTTAAATGCAATTAGTCCTTCATTGTTATTCGTATTTTACGTCTTTTACGATGTAATACGAGTGCTGTGTGTGCAAAAGATCGCGACAGGACGCTTTATTATATCATTTTTCTGGCAACTGGAAAAGACTTACTATGTGGTTAAAGTGTATAAACCGTGATGATTTGAAGGCATTACCTAAAGATCAGCTTTCGAATCTTTTCGTGTGTCAAAAGCACTTCGAGACTCGTTTTATTACGTCGGAATCACGGCTCAAAAAAATTGCTTATCCATCATTGTTCACTGAAGTCAAAATATTGAGTGGAATTATTGTCACCTCCACCTATTACAAAACAGTGTCTTATGCAATAAGTCAGCAAAAAAGTTTATCAACATTATATATATAAATTGTATTTAATAAAATTTATTTTTCAGATGGCACTGTGAAAATCAGAGGGGTGAATTTAAATATTATTTATGGCCCCTGTCATTTGATTAAGGGGTTGCGGAAGAACTTTATAACTAAAAATATATTAATGGATGGGAGAACTTCCAAATGGAGTGATATTGTTGATGTCTACAAAACAGACTGTAGTCATGCTGAGGTCAGGCTATTACATAAATTGAATGACGAACATGTTATTCCAGAAAAGATAAAGAAAATGAAGGTGGGTTCTCCTTCATTACTACAAAGAAATAATCTTGCAAAGCTAGTACAGTCAGCATCAAAAGTACAATCATCTGATGCTGACCATATCATATGTCTTACATAATATCTGGGTGGTGGTCTTACTTATTTTGTCTTGTCAACATTTTATTGAAATTTGTATTTTGTTATAGGTAAAGAATTGTGTAAAAGTATTAAGCAGTACCATGTCTGCTGCATTATCATACACTGCAAAATTTTGTAAGTATATTTTATAATACTGAATAAACATTTAGTTCTGTTGTACTGAAGTAAAAGGTGTGTCATGCTCATCTTAGATAGAAATAAAATAAATTTAATGTTATTTCACTAACAGACAAAGTAATGGTCATAATATTACATGGTACAACAGGACTCGTAAAACAATCTATAGATGCAACAGGACTCATAAAACCATCTATAGATAGTATAGTACAAAATTGCTCTTTCTATATGTACCCCTAAAACTTTTAATCTAGGCATCGGATTCCATGCAGTTTTTAGCAATAAAGAAGAATGATCGAAGAGGAACATTTACATATATATTATAGTATACATTGCATTCGTACGAAGCTGGGGGCGGCGTTTTAGTATAAGTTATAAATATTTGTAAAAAGACATTATTTTTATAGGATGTTTAAAATATTGTTTCAGCGCACTATGCCGATGGTAGACCCGTCAGTGAAACCCTGGACAACACCGCAAAGACCGTCTTATTCTTAGACCAATTATTTGATAGCATAAACGGAGCCTCCATGTTAGGGAAAAAATCTAAAGGGAAGTGTCAACGAACGGCGGTCACAAATAATTCACCGCATCATGTATTCTGGAATGAATCTATAAATAAATTACAAAAATGAAATATGTCGATAATACAGGAACAGAAAAGTCAGTGCCCTCATTGGCAAATTTTATAACTACATTAAAAAGTTATCAGAGGCTGTGGCAGCTTTTTAAAAAAGAAAATATGAAGATAATGCGTCCGAGATATTTTAAATCTGACACTATTGAAAATTTCTTTGGGCAAGTGCGAGCCTATAATTTTAGGAACAATGACCCAGACTGCCACAGCTGCAGCTGCACATATAAATCCTTACTAATAACTAGAATACTAAAATTTCATAATGAAACGTTTAATTGTGAGGATGACCGGGCTGATCAAGTACTTAATTTGCAAACACTGTTTGATGACAGAGATATCATGCCGGGTCATCCCAGTATTGATATGATTTTAGAACAGGCACGAAGAGAAAAAATAAATGTACACTCACGGGCCTATACTGCTGGATGGGTAGTGCGAAAGGTATTGCAAAATTTAAAAAGTGGTTGCACAACATGCAAAAATTCCCTCACCACCAGGGACTTAATTAATATACATGTTTGGATAAGTCACAGAGAATATACAAAAGCTAAAAACCGGTTGCACTACCCATCAGAAGGTGCAGTAAGGTGCTTTGGTACAGTAATTAACGAATCAAATGAATACTTAGAAATAAAAGGACATGAAACAAATATAGCCAAGAATATAAAAGTAGTTATTTTTAAGTATTAATTTGATTTTATTGTATGTACCGAGCACAAGTTATTGGTAATAGATAATTTTGTAAATTTAGTTATTAAATTTGCCATAATCAATTGGTGCAGAACAATAAACAAAATACTAAAGGGCACTGACATTTTCCAATTAAGTAATTGTTCTTTGCCTATGACGCAAAAAATGGCGTTGGAAAAATATAATAAAAAATTAAAAAATAAATCTTTTAATAAATAATTCATGTGTTTTATTGTAGTTCCTTTAATTATGAATAAAAATTCCGATTAAGTGGGATACCTAGGTACCTAAAATTTTATGGATGAATAAAGTTGAGCCTTAGCCACTCTTTGACAAAATTTTAAAAAGTAAGTAAATGTCATACAAGACTAGAAGTACTTGTGTAGACGCTAACTTTTTTTTGTACTAGAGTCGGTCGTCTGATACGTAGTATCTCTAACTAGTCTGTGTTTCTAGCTTGCTACATTTAAATAGTGATCTGTGGTTATTTCTCATTAAAATTTACGCGATACAAATTTTTACTGATGTAAAATGTGTTTTTATAATAAAATATAGTTCAGCACTAGTGTTTATGTGATAATGGCATGTATTCACTCGTAATGTTACTACATTAACTTCTATGGCTCTGTCTTGTTCATTTTGCTTTTTATTTCATTTAATTAATAATGGTTTTTTATAAATTGGGCTTCTTAAATTGACTCCTAATCGACACGTTGTTGTATTTTAATTTTAGAACAGTCGAATATTAAACACAATTGCAAATGCTATTGACAGTAAAGAAGAAGTAAAAAAAAGAAAAGATGTTGGAAAAATAATCTTGCAAGATCTACTTTCTTGCATACAAAATTGCCAGAATAGATTTGGTGGGAAATCAGAATTAGCCACTGAAGATGATATAAGGTAGGTTTATGAAGCTTTATTCAAACTTGAAGTTGTTCTTAAGAAGCTAACTGATACTGAGATAGAAAATACTCATTGCTGAGCTCAAGCTTAACTTAGGGCTCAGCTTTCCATTAGTTGTGGTTGAGTACCGAGCTGAGATTTTTGTCACGGAAAGTATTAATTATTAGGAACACGTACATGAAATCTTTTTGTACGGAAACAAATAAAACTCAAGTAAAAAAAAAATTTGAAAATTAATATTTTTGTAGGGAGACCCCCTCCTCCCCCCCACATCAAAACTACCCCGAAATTCCACCACTTCTAATGGAATTTAGTACCCTTAACATTTCTAATTATCTGACACCTTGTTCTATAAATCTATGGCATCAAATTTTTGTTTGCAATTAACCTGTATTCAATAGGTACTTGAACTCATAATTAGGCATGTATTACATATCCTTTTAATGCGCTTACCACACGCACAAGCTTCACCACAGTTTGGCCTGCGCAAGCATTTCGCACGAAAAAACTGTACACTTTGTGCGTTACCACACGGCACAGTTAAGTACGCGCAAGCCTCATTCTTATCGAAATCATTGGCGTGGAAACAATGTCTCCTAATGAAGAAACATTTCTTTAAAAAAAAAAATCCAGAGTGCAGGCAGAGATTTGTATAAACTAATTAATTCAGACGTGAATTCGCGATTGTACGTACTCAAATCTGCCATTTTTGAGTGACGATGACGAACGACCTCATGAAACGACGAGCGAGCCTCGACACAAAGTAGGCCCATTAGACTTATCTCATGCTCAATCTAAGAAGACTTAAATTGAGTAGTGGTCTGCAGAATATTACTTAATATTCAAAAACTTTAACATCTGTTTTGTTTTGTAATTTATTTTTTGGTAGGGCAGTTGCATTTGTAAATTTTGTTAATACTATTGCAAACCTAAAGGTTACTTTAGGTCGCCAGTTTATTTTTTGGTGAACATTAACAATTACCTATTTGAGCAACATTTAATCATAAGCCATTTTTATTTTATGATTCTTAGTGTCAAATATTTGTAATTCAAACATCATGTTATATATAATAGAACACACAGGTTCTTTGTAACTTTAAAATTAATTCTGTAACCTGTTTAATAAAGAAAGTTAAGATACAGTCTTTCAAATGGCAGTGTAGCTATAATAAGTTGAAGTATTATTTAAAGTTACAATATAATGGGGTGGCTATATCCATAATATTGGGAAAAAGCCCATAAATTAAAAGTTCTTTTAATTTTTTTGGGAAGATAGTTTTGACAGATGCGTGTGTATGTTGCGGGTCCCGCGAGGGTTTGAACGGATCCCAAAACAGGTCAGCACAGAGCGGCTATCCGTTATGGTGACACACTCCATGCTCCATCGCGGACAAAATTCAACCCAACGTGGGCATTCGCTATGGACTCCCCACCTCATAGTGCTGCCAGTACAATTTCTATTGCGCTGGTGAAAGTCGATAATTTTTTTTTATAATACTGCCTAGCAAAAATACAACGCAGATAAGAGCTCAAACGCCGTCCGCTCCGCGTGCAGACTCGCGTCACGCAGCGCTGCTCTAAGGGGAATGCTACACGCTCGATATGTATCGCGATATTTTTTTTTTTTTTTCTCTATTTTTTTCCAGCGTTCTGTTCTACAACTTTTGACTGGAGTTGTGATTAACTTCTTCCTTCTAATTATCAGGAGGGAAATCCATTGACTCCTCCACCACGTGTCTGTTTGCAAGGCTGTTCTGTCCATCGATGAGGCTAAGGGGCGCCCTCCGCCGAAGCCTCTTGAAACAGTCGTCAATGCTAATAAGGCATGATGCCATATCATTAGGGTGTGATTTGAGGCGTGAACTATAACGTTTGATCACTTCTTCTATTTCTTCTTTAACATTTGGTACTCCTAAGTCTTTGTGTAATTGATTATTTGTTATGTACCACGGAGCATCAGCAATCATACGCAACGTTTTAGATTGAAACCATTGTATTATTTGTATGTTTGAAGCAGAAGCAGTACCCCACAGCTGCAGTCCGTATGTCCACATTGGCTTCAGTACGCACTTGTATATTAGTAATTTGTTCTCCAAAGAAAGTTCAGATTTGCGGTTTATTAGCCAAAATAGATTTCTTTCCTGGAGTCCCAGAGCTTTCCTTTTCGTGAAGATGTGGTGTTTCCATGTCAGACGTCTGTCCAAATGTAAACCGAGGTATCTGGCGTTTTCTGCTTGAGGCAAAGGTATGTCGTTAAGAAAAACTGTGGGGCACGTATCATGTCTCAGTGTGAATGTTTTATCCGTGCGGTGACGGAGAAAGAATACAACTCACCGCCCCTTTTCTTCCCGTGGGTGTCGTAAGAAGCGACTAAGGGATGTCGGAGCTTCCATCCGCTCTTCTGGTGGTAGGGTGCCTAACACCCGCCTGGTTTGTTACCACCGTGCGCATGGTGAAAAACCCGTGAAATGCTTCTCGCGCGTTTCGGGGTCAGCCAGCGTACAACCAGAGCTCGAGTGGAAGTTGTCGCGAAGGATTCGGTCCAGGGGAGGCATCCGTGGAACCGATGCCGGGAGGACTGCATCGACCCGTCGGCCAGGGAGACCCGTAGAAACGGCTGTACCGCTGGCCGCCCGTGGCACAGTACAGGGACCCAAGCGTTCCTAACCAGTTCGCGAGGCTGCCCCATCATGTCACGCATAATCTCGGGGTGGACCGTCGTGCCGGTTGGTGACCGGGGCGTGGGGTCCCGGCGGCCACTCCCGGGGGGGTGCGGGGGCCCTTCCGTCCGGCGGGTCGGCGCATCTCCACTGCAGGCAGTCAATCGGGAAGACAAACCCCCCTTATTTGCCCGGACTCTTCGCGACGGCGTCCGCTCGTTTTCGCGTCTCTTTTTATTTTCACTTCCACCATGGCAGCCTCAATAACAAAGTTTGGACGTACAGCGGTGCACACCCCCACGCCTTCAACGCTGTTTGAGGTCGAGTTCTGCAACATACGCGAACTCCACTCTAACCTCAACGCTGTCCACCACCATCTCGAGACAGCACGGCCAGCATTGTTGTTCCTGACGGAGACACAAATACTTCCGCCTGCTGACACAGGCTACCTTAATTATCCCGGCTACGTGCTTGAAGAGTCCTTCAAAGCGAAAGCCGGTGTATGCCTGTATGTTCGGGCGGATGTTTGTTGTCGCCGTCTCCGCTGCTTGGAAGATCCCTCCTCCATGCTGGGGGTACACGTCGACTCTGGCCCCCGGGCCAGAGTCTACGTGTGCCCCTACAGATCCCACACCGGCGATGTTGAGACAACTCGACTTTTTGAACACCTTAGTCGGGCAGCAGATGACGCGCAGGAGCGATTTCCCAATGCAGAATTGGTGTTTTTGGGCGACTTTAATGCTCACCACAATTTGTGGTTAAGTTCTTCCAAAACTGACCATGCAGGGATCTCTGCTCACACATTCGCTCTCACGCATGACTTGAAGCAACTGGTTGATCAGCCCACCAGGATCCCAGATATTCCAAGTCAAGCGCCTTCTTTACTGGACCTTCTGCTCACGACCCATCCACAGGGCTATCAGGTTGTGGTAAGAGCCCCCCTGGGCTCGTCCGACCACTGCCTGATATCGGCCAAAGCACCACAGGCCAAGCCTCCGCGTCCAACAGTGGTCAAGCTCCGTATCTGGCATTATGGGTCGGCAGATTGGGACGGTATGCGTGATTACTTTGCGTCCGTCCCTTGGAAGCAGCGCTGCTTCAGTGACAGGGACCTATCGGGCAGTGCCGTTGCTATTGCTGAGGAGATCATAATGGGTATGGAATACTATATTCCTCATTCTGATCTCATCAGTAAGGGCACATGTAACCTCTGGTTCAATCACGACTGTGCTGAAGCTGCTTCGCGTAAGCAAGCGGCATATCGTGCTTGGATCAGAGGCCGCGCTCTCAAGGATCCCGGGGTCGATTCACTCAAAGCAGCCTACAATTCTGCTTCCAAGGCCTGTAAGAAGGCTTACATCAGAGCGGATGCCCAGCGTGTTGCACGTGTTGGCCAGGAACTTATAACGCATCCTGCGGGCTCCCGTAGCTACTGGCGTTTGGCCAAGGCCGTGCAAAAAACTTCTGCCAGCCCTCGCTACCACCTCTGAGATGCCCAGACGGAACACTAGCTCATAAGCCGCTGGAGAAAGCCGATTTACTGGCAAAACTCTTTGCGGCTAACTGCCGAATCGATGATTGCAATGCACTGCCACCATCATTACCTCACTGTGGCACAACGATGCCTGATATTAAAATCAGGCAGCGTGAGGTTCGTGCCGAATTGCAATCACTCAACGTCCGGAAAGCTAGTCGACCGGAAGGCATCCCAGCAGTAGTACTTAAAAAATGTGCAGCGGAGTTGTCTCCCGTGCTCACGCGCTTGTACCAATGCTCGTATTCTTTGGGGCGTGTGCCGGAGAATTGGAGAGATGCTAACGTGCAACCGGTGCCCAAAAAAGGGGATCGCTCAGACCCGGCAAACTATCGGCCAATAGCAGTCACCTCAGTTTTATGTAAAGTTCTAGAAAAGGTCCTTAATAACCATCTGACCCGCTACCTAGAGGATCACTCCCTGATTAATGATCGTCAATATGGATTTAGACCGAAACGATCGACGGGTGATATTCTAGCGTACTTAACTCATATCTGTGGTGAGGCTATCGACAAGCGTGGCGAGTCGTTGGCTATCAGCCTTGACATTGCCAAGGCGTTCGACAGGGTCTGGCACAAAAGCCTTCTCTCCAAGCTTCCGGCATACGGTCTGCCAGCCCAGTTCTGTTCTTGGGTAGCTGACTTCCTGCATGAGCGTAGAATTCGTGTCCTTACGGATGGTAGCAGTTCGCGGTTCATGTCAGTGAATGCCGGCGTTCCCCAGGGCTCCGTCCTATCCCCCACTCTCTTTCTGCTGCATATCAATGACTTGATTCCTCTTGGGAATATTCATTGCTATGCAGA